GCCGATTTTAAAAATATAACCTACCCCCCAGGTAGATATCGGTAAATATTTAATTTAGTCTTAATGATATAGGTACATACCTAACATAAACACAATTATTAAGTTTTTTGAATTAATTTGGGCCAGTGCAATATTTATATTTTATATCGTCATTAAAAAACTGTAATGTAAGTTTATAAAATCCTCGGCATTACATCAATGTGACACTGTTTATCGGTACCTTTAGCATTTATATATAGGGCATTTTTCTATAACTTCAAATTCATTAGGGACGACCTACAAAATAAACAATTATTCATATAAAATTAAACTATGGTCAAAAAATTATCCTTGTTTAAGGGACGATCTTTTCACCTCTGAGTAAAGTAAAAGGTTTACTTGACAGATTAACAAACAATAGCCCTGTAGTTTAATCAGAAAGAAGTTACTTTCAAATTACCTCAGAGCTGAAAAGAGTGGCTCTTGATAAAATATATAATGAAATTGGTATAATTTTTTTGAAACTTCGTTTGTCTTTTGTTGGAAATAACGAAAAATGACTCAATGCATAGTTGGGTATAAAACACATGATTATTCTATAGACCCTGGAACAAATAAATTGTTTTTATTTGGTTTTAATTTTCTGATATCATCTTTAGTTCATGATATAGCCATTGTAAGTTTTTAAATTGCCAACTCCTATGTATACGTTTTATTTATTTTTGTGACAAACCAGTTATAATTAAATAAAAATCAACAATAGTAACATTGTAAAACTTTACTTCTTTTAAAAAAACTCTAACGTGAATTTTAAATAAAAGATTGCTTTAGTAAAGTGTACGGTTTTATTATGAAATTATCCCAAAACACTGTCTCTATCATTGGATGTTTACTACACAAATAAACCAATGGAAAAATCACCCCTGTTTACAGTGTGTCCCTTTCTCAATGAGACATCCTGTATAAAATATCAAATTAAAAATAAATAAAAATATCTATGATTACACCGGTACACAAAAAAAAGTTGTCAGTATATTTGACTAGACCCACCTAGGGTTATGTATTTCGATACGCTGAATTCGAATTTGAGCCCGAACACTCTCAAAACTTTGAGTAAATTGTAATTTTTCGCGTTATATTGCCATTTTTAGCGGTGCTTTACAATTTACTCCAAATTTTGAGGGTGTACGGGCTAAATGAACCTCAAATTCGGATGCAGCGCACCGAAATACACAACCCTGTTCAAATGTATTGACCACTTTTTTTGTGTACCGGTGTTATTTCTCTTCGGTATATATTAAAAGTAGCTCATCGAGGATACTTACCAGACAATTTTACTACTAATTATCGACCATACCTGAATATCACAAGTTCACTGCGTGACAAATCACAATGGGGGCGTTTTATTTTTTATTGCACTTTCAAAATTAGTTTTGTCGTTGTGTGTTCTCGGCTTCTTTTAATTCATTGTTGTCGAAGATACGCAGAATGTTCGTAAATTTCCCATGAATATTGGAATTAGTAGCGCTTTGGTTCGAATCGATGCAGGAAGTATAAGGAACAAGAAATCATGTAAGACAAGATTACAAATTAAGGGGTTACGAAAATATATGAATATACAGGCTTTTTTTAGAACACCGTAAGTCAGAAGAAATATTTTTCATAAATGTATATTTTTGGTAGGTTGCTCTATATGTTTAGTCTAATAGAAATATTTAAAATTACCATTATAGTCGAAATACCTACCTACTTGTGTAAAAAAAGTTGACAAAATCGTTTATAAAATTTTAAAGCAATAATTTTTATCAAAAATGTTACTCTTATGCAAACAGATGTGTGTATCATTGACAGGTTTGAATATGGTTACAATAATTTTCTCATCGTGTAACAGGTATTTCCGTAAAAAAACTGTCCAACATCTGCGACTACGAATACCGCGTCGCCATATGAAACAACCAAAGAAAATGACTTAATAATCGTAATAACAGAAAAATATTTATACGCGGCTTACATCCGTAATTGAAATTAGTACTTTTTCCCACTAAAAACTGGCATGTCAACTCGATTTGGATAAAGAAATACTTCAGAAATAAACGAACATATTATTTCTAGAGCGATGTTGCCGTATTTGTAAGTATATACGTAATTATTTTTCAATAAAAGGATATTTTTCTTCGAGCATATATTACTATGGATGGGTATTGTTTATGTTTATACTTCTAGTCGATATTTGGCCAAGAAAAAATTATGCAAAAAAGTGGCTCGTGCTTATGCAGATTGAGAATATTTCGCCTAGACAAAACCGTATTCAAAAATTTTTAATTAAATGATTTTTGTGATATATATGTATATCAAAATTTTTATAAGGTTATTTCATATTTTAGTAGGTACAAACAATTTGAAAAAGTAAAAAAATGTTTAGTTTGTAGTACAGAGTCTTCAACAATACGTTTATTCTACGTGACTAAATTATAATGTCATCAGTAAAAATAGGCTATAAACTAGACTCTTAAAATTAGTACTTTTTTTTTTGGCGTAGGCACATTGCCATTCAGCCAGACACAGATTCGTCCATAATTAGAACTACCCAAGAATATTTCCTAACAGCAAGAGGTAAGTAAGTAAGTAGTAAGTAAATTATTTATTTAGCTTTCAGCTAGTTATAAACAAATATTTACAATTTAAACTTAAAACTATAGGTTACCTAAACCTAGATAATTTAATGAGCCCATCAAAAAAGATTTTTTTGTGAAATCAATATTAAAATTGTCCATTGATCTGAGTGGACGTAAATGAAGTTCAGATCTTTTTACAAGTAGTGTACTAAGGTATTTCGGAGTTTTGTGATGTATCATCTTATATATTAGTATTAAATTCGACATTTTAATGCTTTGCTCAATTGTATAGACATTCAGCTGTTCATGCATTTCCCTGACCGAAGTGTAAATATTACAATTTAATATTATCCTTAAACATTTATTTTGTAACAGTTGCAATCTGTTGATGTTTTCTTTAGTAGCTGATAATAGTAATTCATTACAATAATTAAAATGTGGGCGTATTATTGTATTATAAATCAGAGATTTTGACCATTGCGACAAGTTACATGAAATCCTTCTAAAAAAAACCAATTTTTTTACCTAATTTTTTACATAAGTAATTGGCATGATTATTAAAAGTTAATTGTTGGTCAATAATGACTCCTAAATATTTTATTTCCAGTACTTGTTCAATTGGTTCACCACCTATTTCTACTGCTTGATCATGCGCATTAAGTTGTCTGCATTGTGCTTTTGATCCTAGGATCATATATTTTGTTTTTGCAGTATTTAATTTAAACTTATTTACATACAGCCAGTCATACAAAATAGACAATTCTTCATTTAATATTTGAATTATTTCCTGAAAATCTCTACCAGATACTGAAATGAGCGTGTCGTCCGCGAAAAGGCCAATAAATGATCTTTTTAATCGTTTGTAAGAAGAAGAATAACAATATAGGACGGGGACACTCGCTTCTCGTCCAGGGACCCATCAGGACGTTTTTTTTTAAATAGTACTTAACCGTTAACTAATGTTTTATAAAAATGTTTTTTCGTTAAGCGAAAAATGTTTAACCCTTTCAGCCCCAGTGGACGTACGACGTACGTCCTTAAGCTATACTTTTGGACGTATGACGTACGTCACATAAAAGTTAATCGAGAACATAGCCGACAATGTTTGTTTACCTTCTCTTGAGTTATGGATTACACCCAAAAAAATTATCAGTGCTTTCTTGATGACTTGATAAAAAAAACGTTTACTAAATAAATCGTCTAACATTATTGTTTATTCAACATTATTAACTTATGGCAATAACCGAAAAGGTAGATCTTGGTCAAACAACTATAAGTATATTTATAAAAGTATGATTTATAATGTACATTTTAATTGTCTTTAAAAAAAGAGTACCCCACCACAAGTGATCCCTTTGAAGATAGATTTCCTAATAAAGTTTCAGAATTTCTTGGCATTCCTGGTCCAAACCCGAGGTCTTCCCACATGAAGATCTATAGTTCACAAGGTCCGTAGATATGTTTTTATCTGAGGAAACGTTTAATTATTTTGTGCGATGCACAAATTCGAGAGCCGACATTCCCGACAATAAATCAAGTAAAAGTTTTGTTCTCTGTACTTCTGACGGGTAAATGTATATATTTGAAATTTATATGGGACAAGGACAACAAATATTTGCTCTTCAGGATGCCAATGTCCAAGATCTGTCAGTATCAGAAAGAATAGTAGTACATCTTCGTCGAAATTTACTGGACTTTCTATACAGATAAATTTGGTATAGTAGTATACGGCTCGCCGAGTACTTTCTACACAGGAAAACCCTTTTGACTGGCATGATTCGTCCAAATAGAGGAGTTCTAAATATGATATGACTCTCCATTGAATAGACACCAAACAGCAGGTGTCAGTAAAGAAAATATGGACAAATGGGACGTTTATTTAATTTTAATAGAATATACTGCTGAATTGACCGAGTGTCAAAGAGTATTCTTTAGGAAGCCTGTAGTTATACAAGAACATACTTGATGCATGCGTGTTGTGGATAAATTGTATGAGCTACTCCATTGCTATAACTGTTGCAGGAAATCATATACCTGGTTCAAGAAACTTGTTATTGCAGCGCGCTATAATAAATTGTCATTTTGTATACAAAGAAAAAAATCTGATGTGTCCAACACATGACTTTCCTATCTAGTTATTACAGGCTTTTTCCGTTTATTGTGTACAACCTATTGCAGCATCTCTATAAATGTTTAGAGGATAAACTAAATATATATACATTGTCCACATACATCTACCGCGAAACATTTTTCTATAGATATTCATTGAAAATGAAAATACTGAAAAATTTAAATTTAGCACTTTTCCTACAATTTTTCCATTACGGTCCATTTAAAAAAAATCATGTATGAACAAATATTATAGAGATCGATATCGCAAACAACTTTTATTTCAACAATTTTCATAAAAATCAGAATTTTGCACATTTTGTCAAATTTCTCGAATACGGACCATTTCAGGAAATTTTTACATAAGGCAAAAATTATAGATAATAATATTAGAAGTAACTTTTATTTGAACAATTTTCTTATCCAAACATAAATAACAGATATATTCCATAAAATATATAAACGGCCTCCCATAAAGTACCCCCCCAGATGTTCCGACTTTGTCCAAAATCTAATCATTTCACGTCAGGCCGAAATAAAACTTAAGTTTAAAATTTATTGATTTTTTCTTTATCCGTTTTTTAGTTTTCTTCAAATTTCGAAATTTACACATTTTCTCAAATATCTCGAATACGGTCCATTTTAGAGAAATTATTTATGGAAAAAAAATTATAGACAATTATATTACAAACAACTTTTGTTTGAACAATTTTTATAAAAAAAAATATTTTTTTACATTTTGTCAAATTTCTCGAATACGGACCATTTTAGGAAAATTTTGTAAATGACAAAAATTATAGATAATAAAATAAGAAGTAACTTTTATTTAAAAAATTTTCTTCCCCAAACGTAAATAACAGATATATTCCATAAAATATAAAAATGACCACCTATAAAGTACCCCCCCAGATGTTCCGACTCTGCCCAAAATCTAATCAGCTCATTAGACGCTAGAATAAAGCCTAAGTTTGAAATTTGGTGTTTTTCCGTGTATCGGTTCATGAGTTATGCGTTATACAGACACACACACACACACACACACACACACACACACACACACACACACACACACACACACACACACACACACACACACACACACACACACACAGACACACACACACACACAGACACACACACACACAGACACACACACACACACACACACACACACACACACACACACACACACACACACACACACACACACACACACACACACACACACACACACACACACACACACACACACACACACACACACACACACACACACACACACACACACACACACACACACAGACATCATCGCGAAAATAGTCAAAACGGATTCAGGGGACCTCAAAACGTAAAAATCCGTCGAAAACTCGAGGTCGAAAAAAATCATGATTCCTATACTTTCCTTATATCTGTATACAGATAGGAAAGTAAAAATAATACTAGTATGACTTTATTGACGCATTTAAATTACGTTATTGCTTATTTAGTGGACAGACGTAACGAAGACATGGATTTATTTATTTTTAGGCGACAGTGGATGCAGCAAATTTAATTTCGTGGCCAACCTGTTGTGCATACTCCATCTACTTTTGCACCAACTGCTCGTCGCCAACGTAGGTGTTATATGTGCAACGTCGAACATCCGACGTGATACTAGATACTTTTGTAATTTGTGTCCCAATAAACCAGCCTGATGCATGCCTGTTTTAGTAATTTTAATCATACGCGTTAATATCTTTTGTTTTATATTAGTATTTTAGTTATTTTTGTATATAAATAACATCACAAAAGATACAGTTACATAAACTTGTATTGGTTAAACCTAGATAGTATTTTACTAACGATAAACTATTGGTAATTTTAAATAAAATGTTCATACCTTCGACAATATGGTATACCGTATGCAGACGTACACCGTACGTTCGCTGGTAATGAGCGAATCCAACTTGCTGGGATTATTTACTGCATGTAAAAATAGTGGCTGGTGCTGAAAGGGTTAATAATTTATTGCATACATATTTATCAGATTTTACTTTTGTAAGCTTCTATTGAAGACTATTTTTTGTTTATAGGCCTGATGATGGGGAAATAGCTGAAACCGGTGGCCGTTTCACTTTTATATTAAAAAAATTATGTGGTATATGATTTTGTGTATTATTTTGTTACTACATTGATGAAAATATATATAAACACATAAACATTCCATTAATAATTATTTTCTACACCCACATGTATATTAGCTTATCTACGCACAGATTACAAAAGGAAAAAGTATGCTATTGCCTTCAATTGAACGAATATATTTCATATCCATTCTAGGTATTGAGAACACTGCAAAAAAATGAAATCCACCAATCACAGTTCATATTTTGATAAATCGACTGCTATTATTTTTAAAATTTTAAATAAGTGACAATTCTGTTAAGCTAATTGTCAGTATATTTTTTAGTTATTAAGATTAAACATTTATTAAAATGAGTTATTCTTGTGCAGAATCGATAAGTAATAGAATTTATATTTTTATTTCGTCTATAATTACAAATAATTTGTTAATTTAAATAAAACCATATGAAGTCAATTTAATTACGAGAAATAAATAAAAAAAAATAAACGCGCAGATGGTCAGGGTTCTTGCCTTCCATACGGAATACTCGAGTTCAAATCTCAGATAGGGAAAAATTAATTAATTTTTTTGGTTTATTTTATTTTATAAATTAGTAAAAGTCAAAAATTATTTTTAAATTAATTGTTTTATCTTGATAACCTAAAATAATTTTTAATATTTGTAGATTTTCATTAGTGGATCGTAGAAAAAATATACTGTACAACTCAAGTGGATTGTCCATAACGCACTTAGACGATTGAGCACTCCGCCTACGGAGTCGTGCTCAAATTTCGTCTTTGAGCGATATGGCCATCATATCTACTCTTGTTGCACAAACTATTATTACCTATAAAACATAATTTTAAAAATATAAATAATAGATAATTTGCACTCACTATCTTCTTTTTTTACTGCTCTCAGTTTACTAATATGTCCATTTAGTACGTATTTTCCAAATGTTTTAATTTATGTTATGATATAAACACCTAAACAAAGTATAAAGAAAAGTGTGAGGATTTTTAAATATACAGGATGTTAGTTTTGCTCGAGAGGTAAAAAATATAATTATTTTAATACAGTTTTAAAATGGCTTACTGTATTGAACCCTACAATATTTTCCGGCAATGTTTTAAGCTGGCTGGCTGACTGGATGTAGTGACTCAGGATGGACAACCTTAGCACATCACATTCATTACACACTTGTCACCTTTTAAGCAATCCCTCATTTCGTGACAATTATATGTATTATATTCAAGTTGATTGGTCTTAAAGTTTCAATGATTTTTGTGATTGTATTTATGCAAATACAACTTGTCTCGATATGAAATTCTAGTACCTCATACTTGTAATTAATTGAAGATTATCTATAGTCCAATTGCAGTATTATATAATTCCTAAACGAAATGCTCTAACAAACACGTTCTTCAAATATACTTTATATTCATTCAAGAAAATGTTTTATATCAAGATATGTTTTATCGGTTCAAGTTTAATATAATTTAAGGTAATTACAGCACCCCTTATAATTTTCGGACAAGCATATCTCAAAAAGAAATTTTTTTAAAAAATTAAAATTTTGGCAAAATAAATGAGGCAATAATAACTAAAATATGCATATATTTTAAAGATTTACTTCCTCCAGTTTCAAAAAAAAATTAAAGGGCTTTAAATTTTGAATTATTATAATGAAAATAAACGCATTCCTCAACAGCACTATTCTTAATATAATCTTCAAATTTAAGCCCTTAATATCTTGTTAATGATTTTTAAAATTTGCCCAAATTAGTTGCTAAAACGTCTCGTTAAGTGCTATTTTCAGGTGTAAAGTGGTGTAAACTGGTTTAAATCGTTGCAAGAAACGAATTATGCTTCGGAGTGTACGATACGATTGTTACAGACGCTTTTAAATCCACGACTACTGTTCTTGTCCCTAAATTATGTCTAAAGATTTGCTAAATGCAAAATCACGACATTTTCTTAAATTTTTTTTTGGATAAAAAATAAAAACAAACTTTAAAAGTGCATATATTCAGGGCCGCCGAGAGCCAGGCCAGGCCCCAGGACAATTCTCTAGATCGGGCCCCGTGACAAATAAAAAATATTCTCTAAATTTCTCTAAAAAAAGCTCCCCAACCAAAAACTTCCCCCACTTGTCATGTGCCGAACTTCTGAAAGAAAACAAAAATCCTCGCCGCGGTTACCGGGCCCCCCTTATACCGCTGCCAGGCCCCCATTTGAGTCCTGGCCCCGGGAATTAGTCCCGGCTGCCCCCCTCCTCTAGTCGGCCCTGCATATATTACTGTGAAGCCAAGTCAATACTCCTATTAACATTCTGTATATCAGAAACGAAGCATTTTAAGACATATGTTTATAAGAAGAGACTTTTTCATATTTCAATCCTTCAAGCAATTCATCCATTTTTCATGAAACATCTTCTATAATACTAATAATAGTTATTTCTGTACCAAGGTCGTAAAGTTGTTATTTTTCGGCCAAATCAAAAACTTGCGGTCGAGGCAAAGCAACTTAGGTTAGGCCAAAAAAGATCATGCGGTTGTCTGATCAAGTAGTTCCAACATTTTTTTTTTAAATTCCAGAATATTTTAAAATTTTTACGACTACGAGAAGTTTGCCAGGCGAGACGTAGTCTAGCTTATAGATATTAAATAAATATAGAAAATTAAATCCAAAATTATATTATTTTCAATTTTTTTATAGCTGAGATCGCTTTGATCGATAAAAATAACTAGTTAAGTATATTCTTAATAGCAATTGAAATATTGCTGTCATGTCAGTGTGCGTATAATTTATTTAGTTTCCCCTTATTCAATTAAAAATTGTTTTATTCAAATTTTATGTACATGTGGATAATAGCCTACTATTTTACAATAGCAACAAAAATTATCGTCGGCAGTATTAAAAGGTAAACTGAAAATAAAACGAAATGTTTAGATAGCAAAGCTGTTTTACTTTTGCGGCCTAGGCCGTAAAAGTAGTATATTTAAAAGTTCTCCTTTTCGATTATATCTGTTAGAAAAATAACGTTTTATGACGCATTCCAATAAAAACAATTTTATGGTCCTTTTTTCCGTAAAATTAGTAAAATAAGTATCGAATATTATTCACAAAAAAGTTTATTTAGGCATCTTTTCTTTCATCAAAGATAAATATACGTCCAAACCGACTTGATTCTCCTTGTAATAAGGCAACTGTTGCATCCTCTTTATCCAAGCGGCTATTTTGGGAAACTTGGCCTCGCTTAAAGGTGCGAAAGCGCCGCTCCAAGACGTAATAGTAGTAACGAAACTGAAATCGGCTATGGAAAGCTGATCCCCTGCGACGTAGTTGCTCTTCTCCAAGAACTTCTCCGTGATCGTGAATGACTCTTCGATGGCTGCTAGCAACTTGGGAGCGATGGCTTTTTCGCCTTCGAAAATGAGACCTCTCTAAAAGAAGAAAAACATCCGCATGAATTTTTTATGTTCCTTAGATTTAGGAATTTAAGCTAAACGTGACAATGACGCTAAAAACTGTCACACCAGGGTTGCCAACCGTACGGTAATTACCATACTTGTACGGTAATTTCGATTAATGTACGGTATACGGTCCAAAGTCATTACCGTACATAAAAGTAAATTAGCAAAGACTTTGAATAATTTAAGATCCGATTCCACCGTTGTGTTAAACGAAGTTTAAATTACTATATGAAGATTAAAATGACATTGTCTAAAGTAAAAATGTAATTTTAATCTTTTTACAGCACATGTTCTTTAAAAAGACCTGGTTTATACAAAAATATAAGCTGAGGCCCCATTTTTTTTTAGAAGCTCAATAGAAGGACCAGAAGTTGATTAAAATATATG